TTTATGAACTCCATCCAACGACGCTGTCTCATGTTCAGTTCTTTTTGATCGAATAAGTACTTGAGGCTCTTGTGATCGCTATAAACTGTTGTGGTTGCACCGTACAGGTGATGACGCCATATCTTCAGGGCAAACACGATCGCTGCTAGTTCTAGATCGTGAGTGGGGTAGTTTTCTTCATGCGGCTTCAACTGTCGGGATGCATATGCTACTGGTCTGCCATGCTGCATCAGTACACATCCCAAGCCTATCTTGGAGGCATCACAGTATACCTCAAATGGTTCCTCCGGGTCTGGCAGTGTCAGTACTGGAGCTGTAGTCAACATTCTCTTTAACTCTTGGAAACAAGCTTCACATTCCTCGGTCCACACAAAAGGGACCTGCTTTCTTGTCAATCGGGTAAGTGGCAATACCCGCTTCGAGAATCCTTCAATGAATCTCCGATAGTATCCTGCTAGTCCAAGGAAGCTCCTTATCTCTGTGACAGTCTTTGGTCGTTCCCAATCTACTACTGCTTCAATCTTGCTGGGATCCACTGCTACTCCTTTCTCTGAAATTACATGTCCAAGAAACTGAATCTCTGGCAACCAGAATTCACACTTTGATGGTTTCGCATACAGTTGTTTCTCCCGCAATACCTGTAGCACAATTCTCAAGTGTTCTTCATGCTCCTCTTTGCTCTTCGAGTATATCAGTATGTCATCGATGAATACGACCACGAATCGATCCAAGTAAGGTTGGAAGATCTGGTTCATGTAGCTCATGAATACTGCCGGGGCATTAGTCAATCCGAAGGAAATGACCAAGTACTCATAGTGCCCGTATCTTGATCTGAAAGCTGTCTTCGGGATGTCCTCCGGTTTGATCCGGATCTGATGATATCCTGATCGAAGATCAATCTTCGAAAACACATTTGCACCTCTTAACTGATCAATTAAGTCCTCGATACGAGGCAATGGGTATTTGTTCTTGACAGTCACTTTGTTGAGTTGCCGATAGTCTGTGCAAAGTCTCATTGATCCGTCCTTCTTCCTTACGAATAGAACTGGTGCTCCCCACGGGGATACACTGGGTCGGATGAAATTCTTCCCTAGCAGGTCTTCTAATTGCTTCTTCAATTCTACCAATTCAAGGGGAGACATACGGTAGGGTGCAATTGAGATTGGTCCAGTCCCGGGAATAAGTTCAATAGAAAACTCCACTTCCCTTTCAGGGGGAAAGGTGGTAATGTCGTCAGGAAATACATCCTCGAATTCTTTGACCACGGGAATGTTCATCAACGGGATCTCGCTGTTGGTCCCTGGACATGGGGCTGATCTGGACCGAGTTTGGGAAAATTATTCCCGCTTCTTTTCTTGGTCAAATAGGTGTATGATATGCCACATTGAAGCTTGAGGTGTCTAGTTTGTTGTGTAAAAATTTGAGAGCAATTGGTTAAGTGTATTTTCCATAATAAGTGATTGAATGAAGGATGTTTGGAGCTGTTTTGTGGTTGGCTGACAGATTTGCTTGTCCAACTTCAAACAACGATATCCATAGCAAACAAGAACTTTATGACTCGTATGGTAGCTTCCTAGAAAGGTAATTAAGTCTAGAATAATATACTAAAAGATGGGAGCCTTGTAGAATGCCGTTTGTCCGCAGAAAATTAAAGACCAAACCATATTCGAATAAGTGGAAAACGTAAAAGTGAGATTTTAGCTAAATAGGTTTATGAGAACCCCTTAGTGACTTCAGGGAAGTAATATATGATATAAAAGTAGTTTAAATAATTATTCCACAAAGATTTTACTGTTACGGTCACAACTTATATTTATTACGCTTTTTATTATTATAAATGCTCGCATAATAAATGGAAAAAGTTTACTCGCATTTTTATAAAGGAACTGCTGTGATTGTAACTGCGCTTAATATCATAATTAATGTTAACAATACCGGTGTACAATGGGCTGTTACAATGGCTACGTCCACATGCTCATCCTACGGGCTTCTTGGCCGCCGCCCCAACACCACTGCTACCACCTGAAATAAAGTCCCCAAAGCGGGGTGAGATATACGGATATATCTCAGTAATCCAGAGGTTCTGGAGAATACTCCACCCTATGGCTCACATAGATGCATATAAACAACATAACATAACATTTAAGACTGGATAAAGCAAGGGATTTAGTGAAGTAGGGAAGCATAGGGAACAAAATACGACGAAGCTGGAATGGTCAATGCCAAAATCACGCAACGTCCATCCTATTGGCCTCGGCATATAGCCTACGGTTTCAAACCATGGAGTGTTCCCACAACATCAACCAAGGCACCCTCCATCTATAACCACCCGAGAATTTCTAGTGTTCTCCTATCCGGATAACACACCACGACCCCAGGTCAACTGGAACTCTCTCACGAAGACCTATCCAGTGGAAGTCCGTAACGCCCGAAGGCAACAGTCTACTGGCCAGAGACACGGTACATCCTATGTACCACTATATATACAATATGCATGGACATGTTATACTACATTATTCGCATACATTTCCTACCACTACTCTCAACGGGCATGGTGGAGCACACACGGGGATCAAACCCCAGTACCAAAGGATTACCTGAATAATCTCCTTCTTACAGCTCCAATTTAATACGTTCCCGAGCTTGGTACAAATAGAAATGCCAAAATCCCTTTGGTCCGAGACCAAAGGCAACCCACCAAGCTCACGGTTCTGAGTTCAATTCCGCGGGAGGCAATCTACAATGATCACACAAGGATCATCAATACAAAGTGAAATCCATAAGATTCCAAAACACCAAAATCCTCCCCTACACATGGTAGGTTCGGCCAACATAGGCTTAAATCCCAAAATATTTTTCTAAATTTTCATTTTATTTTTCTTTAGCATCCTAAGGCTACCACGACACCATTTTAGGTGCCACTTTCCCTTCTACACCATCACAACCTCATTTTCCCAATTATTTCTTCTAGGTCCAAAAACACTTCACATACACTTCAATTATTTTTCAAATTCCATGGCTTCAAGCCATTTAGAGGAGTCAACATCCTTGACCACCTCCTCATATTTCAGATTCCATGGCTGCCTGCAAGACAATCCGTTCCCCAAATTGATATGACCAGCACTAATGATGAGCTGAAGGTTATAAGGGACGGATTGGGCCAACTCTCTTCTTCCTTCAACAAATTCCAGGAACAACAGAAGGAAGAAAGAGAACAACACCTTAGCACCATCAGAGCAGCCATCAAAAAAGAAAATGCTGCAGCTTCTGAATCAACATAACAGGCTGTCAAGGGTGAGATCAGAAGAGCATCTGACTCCCTGATACATTCCAAATCCATGCATAACTATAGAGCTGAACACTTGCTGAATAAACTCCTCCTCAAGCATGCTGAAGAACGAAAAGAGACCAAAGAAGCCCTCAAGGCCTTTGGAACGTACTTGGAGAAGAGAATTTATCAGTTGGAGATGAGGTTGCTGGATGTAGAAGGGCAGATTGTCCACATTCGCCATGGCAGGACAATGATGAGATCCACCATCAACTACCTCGTTGCCATAATCAGTGATCTACTGAAGGATGCTGAGAAATGGCTCCCTACAGCTGAAGTAATAAGACTAAGAGATCAGCTCAGGAGGAGACCATTTACCCAAGAGGAAGTTGATGAAGCTAAGCAAGCTGAATAGGACCCCACTTTGGACAAGAGACGTCCCCAATGAAAAGGAGAAAACCCTCTTATCTGTTTTAAGTTTTAGTTTATTTTTATGTTATAGTATTTCCCTTTCTGTTCCGTTGTAAATATTAACTTTTTGAAATGAAAAATATTTTTGTGATCAAACTGCTTGGTGCATACATTTCAGTTATAGTATTGTGGCTGTTAAATTTTGAATAGCCAATACCATGAAACACAAAGTCAGTAATTAATCATTCTTATTCTTTCTCTGAATGCTTGAAATAGGAAAAGTGAAGAGAATTTAATCCTCAGATTTTTTAGGGATACTGATCTGTGTGAACTAAAGATGGAAAGGAATGGAATAAAGCCAAACACTTACTTATGAGAGCGTTCTTGAGGTGTAACCACAATGAAACTTCTAAACTTGCCTTGATGTTGTGAGTACTGCTGAAGAACAGATGGATTTCACTAACAAGGATCAACCAACTAAACACTTCCATTCCATTCATAGTCACCAACACATCACCAAGTCAACCAGAAGGACAAGGAACAGACCCAAAAATGAACAAAAAGGATAGGAAAAGGAAAACAAAGAAAAAAAGGAACAACCATTCAAATGAAAATTTCAGAAGAAAATACCAGAAAACTTTCCTTCAAGGAAAGAAAAGGTACAAAAAGACAAGATGTTCCCTCAAACAGCAAAAGTCCAGTTCAAAAGCACAAATGTAAACGTTCCATGGCCCCACAATTATTACCACCAATCTTCCACACCTCCATAAACCCTCATCTCAAAAGATCCTTGGAAGGGAAGACATTTGCACTTCATAGGAAAACAGCAGAAAAGCAAGTTCTGAAGAATCACATCCAGGAATGGACAGAGAAACACCAAGCCCTGAGTGATAATGAGACAGAAGATCAGCAACCTTCACTTACCTTGGAACAAATTCTTTCTACTTGTCACCTATGCAAAGTAGTTCATTTTTTGAAAAGATTATGATTGCTCACTGGCTCAAGTTTTTAATGTTGAGCTATTCTTTGAAATTGATCAGCCTAAAACATTATTTCTGAGTTGTTTGAGGACAACCAACAATTTAGTTTTGGGGTGTTTGATGGGACGTAAATTCGTTCTCATCTAAGCCCATTTTGATGGCAAAATACCATATGTTCCCTCATCTGATGAGCAACTTTAGCATGAAAATCACTTGTTTTAAACATTTGTGACAAAAACACAGTGGGGGAACGGATGATGACATAATCTTTGAAAACATATTAAAAGGGGAACGAATTGAGAGCATTTAATGCACCTGCTCCACTCATTTAATGCTTATGTTCACTTTGCAGGAAACGTAGAAACAAAGTCTCCATAAAGCAGAGGCGGTGCACCAACTAAATGCAAAGAAACGTGAACAGCAGAGAATCAAGAGTTCTCATTGGCTAAGAAGAAAGCAAGGCATGGGGGACTACAAGAAAACGGCTAATCATCAACAAAAATTGTCCCATCAAGCAATTTGCAAGCTTCCAAACACTGTTGCCACCGCCCGTTCCTTCAATCAAGAAACCAACTCCAAAAGATTTTACAAGACTGCCACTCCCTCTTCTGCCTATAAAAAAGACGTCCCAAACACGAAGATATCATCGAATTCCTTAGGAACAAAATTCCTGAAGAAGAGATCACCTAAATATTAGTTAGTAGTTTAATTTTGTATAGTTGTAGCTGTAGTTAAGTGACAACACTTCTACCTTGTTCTGTAACATTCACTTGAGACTCCTCACGAGCATCAACCATCTTCTCCATTTTATATTTTGTTGTAATCTTTCTTGTTTCATTTCAATATAAGTGTTTCTTCTTTCCTTTCCACTCGTTATCTCGGAACTGAATCTCGGGTCTATGGGACTTCAGTTTAGAATAATTATGTTTAAAGTATCAGCCATGGGCTGAAATATCTATGGGACAGATAAGTTGTAAAACTCTTAAAGAATTATTTTCAAAACTCTTGACTGAAGCTTTTTGTATTTCCCTGGCCAAGTAAGCTATATTCATTGTGCATCAATGGAAATTGAACACATACTGAGAAAGGAACTTCCTTAAGGAAGGGATTTCAGACAGCTTAGCCAGTGGGGGAAGGTAGTGTTTTGGCAACGACACTATTGGTCTCCTTAGGAATAAAGGACTACTTCGTCCATTTTAAGGTTATGTACCAAGTACCTGTTGGAGTCTAGGGAGCCATAGGAATATGGAAACCTGTGAGCCATCCATACCATGAGCTGAGGAATCAGAGTTGGCAGTTAAGAAACTAGGGCAAAGCCAAAAAGTGCTAAGTCTTGAGCAGAGAAAATAACTATTTAAGAATGGAGCAGTAAATATGTTCCTTGTGTTAGACTATTTTTAAACCATCCACTTTGTTGTCTCTTGATTATAGTTATAACTATTTTATTTTTACTTTATTTAATCTTGTATCTATCAATCTCCAATGATTATTATCACACCTTCTCTCAAGCAGGAAGGATCACATATATAACGCAGTGGGTAATTGTTTGCCATCAGACTAAACTTGTTGTTCCTGAGGAACGTTGTCAAGACAGCAGGGAACGTTTGACCAGTCAGATTCAGCGTCTCACATTCCTGCAACTTACGTTTCCTTGATAATAGATCCTTCATGAACCTTGCATAGTTGGGCATGTTCTCCAAAGCTTCGGCAAAAGGAATGTTAATCTGCAATTTCCTGAATATGTCTAGAAACTTTGAATGTTGCTGCTTCTGAATCTCTTTCTTTAATCTCTGAGGATAAGGTATTCGAGCATATGGGGAGAGATCCAATGGCTTGTTCTGTCTTTCTAGAGCTTTCTTCTTCTCCCACTTGAATAGTTTATTTTCGGCTTTTTCAGGATTGTTTTTGTCAACTTCAATTGTATCCTTTGCCTTTTCTTCCTTCTCTTCTTCATCTGATGCTTTTCCATCCTTCTTCTTTTTTTCGGGTTGTTCCTCTATAGGCTGAATTATTGTCCCACTCCTAGTGGTGATAGCATTGCAATGCTCCCTTGGATTGACAATTGTGTTGCTTGGCAAAGCACCATGAGCCCTTTCAGTGAACTGTCTTGACAGCGAGTCTCCAAGTTCCGGATCGAAGCTTCTTGATTCCAGAATGAGGCTCTTGTCTCCTCTCTGAAGGAATTTGAATTCTGAATGTAGTCCGAGGTGGTCTTGGACAGCTGTGCAAATGCTTTTTCCCACTCTGATTGTGGAGGTTGTTGTTGTTGTTGCAATGGCAAAGGAGGATTCAGCTGGTAATTTGACTTGTAACTCAACCCTGGATGTTGATTCTGATTCTTTTGATCATACCAGAGTCCATTGACCTCTGCTAGTGGCTTTTCCGCTGCTCTTATGTATTCACAATCCTCATTTGCATGAGCCTCCTGACAAATATCACATTTAATGTTAGCATTAGAAACAGAAGAAACTTGAGAAATATTAAATTTCTTATTAAGAGCATCTAATTGTTCTTGTTGTTTCTTGTGCATTTGTAGCATTTGTTCATTCTGGGCTAAGAGCGCATCATAGCCTTCAAGCTTCATGATTCCTGATCTTCTTGGTGCAACTGGGGCTGGAGCATTGTCAAATTCTTGAGATGCTAATGATTCCAACAGTTCAAGTGCTTCCACAGGAGTTTTTGTTTTCGGGGAGCCTCCTATAGCAGCATTCACCAGTGTTCTTGTGCTGGATGTCATCCCTTGGAAAAAGATTCTTGCTTTCTCCCATGCTTCAATTCCATGTTGAGGACACTTCCTGAGTAATCCCTTGAATCGTTCCCAAGCCTCGTATAAAGTTTCGCTTTCTTTTTGTTCAAAAGCATTGATTTCTGCCTTGAGTCTTGCCATCTTTGAGGCTGAGAAAAATCTGGCCAAGAATTTCCTTGCTAAGTCATCCCAATTGGTTATGCTTCCTTCAGGTAGAGACTGCAGCCAATCTCTTGCTTCATCCTTCAGTGAGCATGGAAATAGCCTGAGCAAGATAGCATCACGAGGAACTCCATTTACTTTTAATGTATCACAATAAAGTAAGAAGTTATCGAGATGACTATAGGGGTTCTCTGTGAAGGTTCGAAAGACTGCACCATAGTCATACTATGGTGCGCATACATGGGTGGAAAACAAAATAATTTCGCAGCGGAAGCATAGACCATCTATACACCCCATGTATGAATGTTTTACGTTGAAACGATAGGATTTCAGAATTACCTTTTCACTTGTAGGCGCAAAAGGATGACGCCCTCCAATGGTGATCCACACGGTTATCTCCTTCTTGCTAGCGAGAACTCTTTCTCCTTGATCCCTCCTTATCCTCGATGGCTGGCTAGGCGCATGCAAGGAAGAGGCTACCAAGTGTTTGGATTATTTTTCTCAAGACTATAATGGTGTCTTGAGGTTAGGTGATGGTGCAACAAGAGAGAGAATGAAAGGTTGGAGCTTTTTTTTTTTCGAATTCTACACACACCTAGGAGAAATGATGCATCAGGTTTTTATAAAAAACTGATCAACCACATAAGCCCCTCCTATGATTAGGCGCACAAGTTAAAGTGATGAGAGAGACTTTCCTTGATTATCTCCATCTCATTATGCGCCCCAGATCAGCTCCCTTTAATTAGGCGCATACATTAAAAGGATGAGAGAGATTTTCCTTGATTCTCTCCCTTGATTAGGCGTCCCTCATCAGCCACCTTTAATTAGGCGCACAAATTGAATGATGAGAGGGACGTTCCTTGATTCACTCCCTTTAATTATGCGCCCCTTTAATACCTTTCCTTTCTTCAGAAATTTTGTTGCAACGGTATTCATTTCAATTCTGAATTCAAATGAAAGAGTATTTGAGAGAATCTTCATCCAATCTCTATTGGATTATTCCTTTAAATAATTTTAAATTATTCTCAACAACCTAACCTCATAGAATTTAAAATTCAAATTCAAATTTCAAATTCCAATTTGAAATTTAAACTCAAATATAAATTCAATCTTATCCAAGTTCGTAATTCGAATTCGAAATTCAAATTTCAAATTTCAAAATTCAAATTTCAAAAATTCAAATTTCAAAATTCAAATTTCAAATTTTCCCAAACCTTATTTTGGTCAAGTCAACTCTTTGACTTACTAGGATTTATGTCCCAAGGCCTCTTTGTCCTATCATCATATTTGGGCCCATTAGTGGTGAAAACTCTTTCTCCACTAATGCCCCAAAAGGGCGCATGGATCAAGTGGGCTTGGAGTCCCTACTCCAACCCAACTTGACTCATAGTCTTGACAAAGCCCAATAACTCATTATTGGTCCAAACTTGCTATAACTTGCAATAAGGAATAACCTTTGTGTGTGACCCATTAGGCCCAATTAGTTACTGACATAAATAAACTTGAACCAGTTAAACTCCTTTAAAAGGCCCAATTCATTTAATGACTACATGATACACTAGCAATGCTCTGTAGCCCCAGAACTAATTGAGTTGATCAAGTGATCTACCTTTCTGATTTGGATACCGTGCCAGCATTATCCCTCACATCGTCATTCACATTTAGTCGAGAGCACGGATAGAGTATCATCTCTCTTTATTACCTAAATATAATATTTCACAGGTACTAGGAATCTTCTTCTATTGAATCTAAGATAGATCATGACTCTTCATGATCTCTTACTATGCATAGATTCCCGAGTCAACTAGAAGTCATCTCAGCCCTACCGGTCTTCGTGAACGACTAATCCCTTATAGGGGATTGTGAGTCCTTTCGGCATGTCCATCTATACTCATGTATTCGAGTTATACCCAAGAGTACACTGTTCTCCCCATTTATCAGGCGGATAGAGTTGTACAGTCAAAGTATAACTCTAGGACATGGTATTCGATGACATCCTAAAGTCTAGGACGATCCGCACTACCAAACGTTCAGAGACTTTTCAAATCCAATGATACTCTCTATAATGAATCCTTGTGGAGTCTCTAAGCGGGTCAGTTCAGTGCTATCTGTTCTCCAACAGATCCCCCCACGACATCAGCTAAGGCATCAGCATGCTTGCATTCCATGAGGTCCTTACCTTGTGTCTCCATACAAGTAGATGATGTCGTACTAGTCTTATTGAGATCACCAATACCCTTTCTTGGTGATTCAAGACCAGGAACAAATTTTTAGGTAATAGACATTCAGTGTCCTCGAGTCCTCATGATCATGATCCCTATCATAGATCCCCGAGTGAACACCTGCTCTATTCCTAGGGTCTTTATCTTTAAATGCATATTAACAATAAAATATTGGCGAGACATAAATATGATAAAGATAAAGTTTGCTCAAATTTATTAATCATGATATACCAAATAGAAAAAGGTGTTCATCTCATAAAACAGATTGTCTCTAGGACACCTATATACTAACACTCTCTGCTTCCTCCAGCGAACTGTTCTTTTTGAATCAGTTGCAGTAGTGCCGGCTTCAGTTCAAAGTTGTTAGCCTCTATGTTAGGTCTAACAATGCTTGCCGTCTGTGGAACTCGAGCTGGGGTCATGTAATCTCCCAACGTCCTTGGAGCGAGTTAATTGTTTCCTGCCATCGGATCCTCCTTAGGTTCCTCTTTTGGTTCCGTCGAAGTTGATGCCTTTGTTTCTTTCGCTTTCTCTGCTTTTGCGTCTTTCCTAAGTTTCCTTTCTGTCTTTTCTATCTCAGGATTAAACTGCAAGATTCACGGGTTAAGAGTACCTCGCATAAACTAAGATTGAAAAGATGTGCAAAAAAATAGAAAAAGACAAAACAGAGAAAATAATAATAATAATAATAATAATAACAATAATAATAATAATAAATAAACAAAGAATGCAGAAAAATAAATATGCAGAAAATTGATGCAGAATTTTAATGCAGAAAAATATTTTTGAAGAATGTATAAAGTGCAGAAAATTAAAACGTCCAATCTAAAAGTTAATTAGTTACTTCTAATGTTGAAGAATTTGATCCCCGACAACGGCACCAAAAACTTGTTAGCGACACGGCAAGTGCACCGATCGTGAAAGTAATAAAGTGTACCGGAGTACGAGATCGTTCCCACGAGGATCACAATTTCAAACACTAGTTCACTAATTGCGTTTTAGTTGGATAATTAAAGGTTTGGTTTGAGAGAATGGTGAATTTAAATGAAGAGAATTTTTGTTAAAGACTTAAAATCAAAAACAAGTAAAGGCATGCAATATGAAAATTCAGAATTAAAAGAATAAATGAGATGATGTTTGATTAAGATTTAAAAAGCGTAGTTAAGGTTTCGACTACCCCCAATATTTTTCATATGTTATGAATTAAAAAGCCAAGAATCGGTTTCTTAATATATTGCCAATCAATTCTATCTGAGTTAATTAGGGCTCAATTCCTTGTTACCCTAAATATATGTGATCTTGAAAGAACTCTAGTTCCCTGGTTATTCCCCAAGAAACATGCATTAAGATCAAGAATTTCAAGATTGCATAATTACCCTATGTCTATTCCTATTCCTATTCCTATTCCTAGATCACAAGGATTATGATAAATTATCAAGTCAAGGTTCATGCACCAACATCCCTATTGTCATACAATTCCCCAAAATCATTCTATAAGGAACAAACTCATAGAAAGCATTAAAAACAGATAATTTATTCAATTATAAAAAGAACAGGATTCAGAGACAATTTAATTCATAAACATAAGGATTCAATTGGGTTCCATCTACCCTTAACTACATTAAAGACTACTCTAGCATACTGAATTGAAAAGAAATAATAAAGAAAAGAGAACCCCAAGCCTCCATTGGTGTGATGTTGACTTGGTTTCTCAGTGTTCCAGCGCTCCGCAACAGGATTCCTCCTTCAAGCTTGGTGTAATGCTCTGGAATTGTGTATTGGTCTTGACCCCAAGCTCCTTATTTATAACCACAGGAGTTGTATCCATCATCTAATCTTCCAATGAATCCATACAAGATTTGTATTTGATTTCATCTTTGTTTCCTTTTTCATGTAAAATCTTGGAGATTTGGTTGATGAATTAGAGTTTTAAATCTTCGTTGTATCTTGCTTCAATCTTCTTAGGAATCATCTTGATTTGTTTCCTTTTTAGTTCCATATCCTATCTGAACAAATCTTCTTTAAATCTTCATGGAATCTGTTGCGTATCTTGATCAATTTTTCCTTTGAACCTTCAGCAGCTCTTAGGTGGATTTTTGCTGTTGAATTACTTGTTGTTGTCTGTCTTAGCACGTTTTGGCGTTCAGTAGCACGCCAAAACGTGTTGTTCGAAGGGTTTTGGGATGCTTTGTGGACGTTTTAGCGTGCATTAGCACGCCAAAACGTGCTTCATGTGTATTGTTGTCTGCCTTCACACGTTTTGGCGTGTTGTTTAACATTTAAACGTGATCTTCAACATTTGGCGTGCTGTTTAACATTTGAACATGCTCTCCGAAGGGAACTTGTGTCTGTCAGGGCGTTTTAGCGCTCTGTTGGGCGCTAAAACGCTCTCATCCAGTGGATTTTGGCTATTTTCTTCATCTTGAGCGTTTAAACGTGCTTCATGGACGCCAAAACGTCCTCTTACAGCTGGTACACACTTGAAATCTTGCTTCCTTGAGGCTCCAACTCAACTTGATGTCTTCTTTTGGTTCTAAAGAGCCATAATAGGTGTCAAAAATCCCTTAAAATAAGAATTATGATAACATGTTAGTAAGATATTCAATTATTGTGACTTTACAGTATAAAACCCTAATTCCCATGCAATTCATGATATATATCAAACATAATTAAGCCTAAAAACATGGTAAACCAAGGGTTTATCATTACCTCCATTGTAACCCGTACTAGTTTGTAGCCAATATTTGATTGCACCAA